TATCTACAGTGGCGTCCGAATCTGCCTTCAGTACTAGTGGTAGATTTATTAGTCCACACAGAAATAGGCTTCACCCCAAAACTTTGGAGGCTTTAATGTGTACTCAAGATTGGTTATGGGCCGATATTCACGGTACGATGTACATATGCTTTTCATATTGTTCCTTTTATGAATTATCTTATAACTAATTATTTTACTTTATTCATAGCGAATTCTGCGCCATCTGCATATTTTGGATGTTGCTCCAAGATGAATGATGAGGATATTGATGATGAGGTAATTTTATTTATCAGATAATGTAAATTTTAATATAGTTATTATGATGATATTGATTATAATATCTCTTTCGTTTTTCAGGAACCATCTTGTGTCATCTCTGGCCCTGCTGATGAATGAAGTTATGAAGATGTTTTTAGCTGTTTTTCTTGTTGGAAAATTTTCATCTTGTGAAGTTTTCTGCTTTATTTTGTTGTTTTGTGTGGAGAATTTGTAATTTGTTACTGGACACTTAAGTCGGGACAAGAAGTAACTATGTGCCACATTTCTTGCATTTCAAATGAATGGGTAGTCTTTATTTAATTTTTTGAGGGTTTATGGATTTATGTTCTTAAATTTGATGAACAAATATTTTTTGAAAGTAGAGTTATCTTTAACCTGTATTTTATGGTAAAGTTTCCTTAACTATATAATTGGAATTTTTTGAGAGAGATAGAGGGGAAAAAAAAAACGGGGCAGTAAACGGTGCAAGCTCTTGCCCCGCCCCGCCCCGCCTAAAGCGGGGCGGGGCGCGGGGCAAGGTGATGGAGTGGCGTGGCGTGGCGTGGCGTGGCGGGGCAGGCGCATTACTTTCGTGATCCCTAATCCACTCCAATTGTAAGACAACTCAATTATTACTCCTGAAGCGCGGCGGGGCGCGGCGGGGCGGGGCGCATTACTTTCGTGATCCCTAATCCACTCCAATTGTAAGGCAACTCAATTATTACTCCCGACTTAAATGCAGTCCCATCTTCGACGCTGATGATTGGTCTCCAAGTGGTGATGCACATGCTGGAGGTAAACATGCTTGTAAATTTTAAGGGTTCAAATATTTTCATTTTTAATCTATGTAATATTCCTTTAATGAAAAAAGTAAAATTGTATTAAATATATGAAATGCAGGTACAACTGGATTGGCCATCTAGGCTGTCACCCTCTGGCTGGTCTTCTTGCAGGAGGTGCCATTCTTGTTTACAACACAAGTGCATTGGCACAGTAGACCATGATTTCAGCAATTAAAAATGTCCAATCTAGCTTGCATCGAGGATATGTTTAGAAATTAAAAAAAAATATAACAACTAAGATTATGGTAGACTAATATTTTGTTATGGATGTGCAATATTTGGTTGTACGCTTTAGAGTCACATAGATTCATGCAACACCAGAAAAATACCACAACTGGGAAGAGGAACCCAGAAAATAGATTATCCTATGGTCTGAGGCAACGGTAATTCTAAACAGTAAATGCATTTTTGGTAGCAGTACTAGATAATACTCGATACTGCAAAAAATAGATTTTTTCTTCTTTGATATTTTTTCTGTACTATGCTGTGAATGCACCAGCTAAGGAATGCATATTGCAAATCCTTCGTTAAACGCACAAGGACGAGCATACCCCAACAACCTCATCAACCTCGACCTCCTGATGCCACCATTTCTATGACCATCAACAGAAGCACATACACAAATATTGAAGAAACCATAGAGTTTTAAGACAATAATATATTAAAGCATGAAAGCATCGCCGTGAAAGGCAGATGGAAGGTGGAATTGGAAAAAACTTTTCAAAGTGCGGTTTGAGTATTACAATTTCTCCTCAGTTGATCTCAAAACTTTACACCCCCCAAGACCCCCATGAGAAGAAAATCCCTCTCTTCTTTTCCTATCTGGCATCAGCATAGGGTTGAATGAAATACAAACCAACGTGCTGAATTGAAATCTAATTTAAAATTGTGCAATTCAATCTTTAATCCAAAAGTCAAGATGGGGCAAATGATTTAAACAAATCAAACCATCTTGAACGAGGATCAAGTCCCTGCCTCCCTTTCAACATTTGTACCTTTCTCCTCGAACACCCATCCCGAACAATCTCCCAACCAAGCTAAATTTAATCTTATTGAATTTCTTCAAAAACGTCGTCTTCTTGAGGTTGTGGTGGCGACAACTTAATGTAAGAGGCCCCTAATTGTCCAGTGCCCTCTATTACCATAGACCTAACTCTCTGCACAAATAAATAAATAAATCATATATCCTCGTCTCCTCACAAATAGTAAATAGTTAAACCAGGTCACCACTAAGTAGCATAATTTGTGCTCTAGAACAATATACGAGGAGGGGAAGCACTTATTAATACAGTCACTATTCAAGTTACAGGATGAGCTGTTCGTGTACGGTACCTTCTCTATTTCTTCAGAGACGAGAGGATTCTCTTTCAGGTACTGTAATGCTCTGTCTCTTCCTTGTCCCAATCTTCATTCAAACATTAAATATATAAAAAAGAAACAAGAGACATAACAAATAAGCTAAATAAAATTGCAAGACAGTTATCACAAAGAAAAGACTAGGAATAATTAAGAGAGCTTACAGTAATCCAAATACTATATCAATCGAGATGCAGAGTTCACTTTTTAGATTTTACTATGATATAAATATATTTACAAGCAAATCTCTTTTACTGCCTTGTTATATAGAACCCAATTACCCATCCTCACCCCAGCTTCACCCTATTAAGAGGAAAAGTTATCAAATATATATTACACTAAGAGTGAAGAATACATCTGACCTTATGTTACTTTTAAAACAATTTTAATCTCATGCTCAAGGGCACTGGCACTTCGCTAAGGAGCTGCAAGTTTGAAGCAGCAAATAATTCGTAGATTCATTATTTGTGTTTTCTAGAAGTGAATGAATCAAACAACTAAACTTAATGCTTGATCATTTAATGGTTCTAGCACAATGCATGTGAGATTCATCTAATCATTTCAGCCATATATGCTAATGAAAACCTGTGATCTTCATAGCTGTACCACGAGCCCTTCTTCAAGACAACATCCATTATTTCAGCACAATCCAGAACGCAACCCTGAATATGGACTCAAAAATAATACAAAAGATTTTTTAAGGGAAACAATGGCCACAGCAATATAAAGAAAACTATGAATGCGGCCATACCAGCTTGCTGACTCCCTCCCCAAATATAATTTCAAACTCAGCTTGCTTATAAGGCCTTGACACCTATAAAAAATATTGTTTAGAAGAATAAATGACACCAAGTATTGAAAACATAATTCAGAAAAAGTAAATGGAGGCTGCAAAGAACTCTTAGGCACCCGAAATTTTCAGTATGCCCATAAAAAATGAAGAATGGGTGAAGTTAAGATAAGATTATAAATCAATATATTTTAGAAATGTGGGTTCAATTATGATTAGTGCATAAAAGTCATTTATATTCAAAATGAACAAATACCAGATTTCCATGGGAAACTAAATCACATTAAGCACAAGAAGTGCTAAGGGAACCTACGGAGTGGTCAGAAATATAATTAACAATACAGGACACTGGACATATGTTCTTGTCGTTGGAGCTACTCACCTTACTCTTTTGAACTCTCACGCGAACTTTAAGTCCAATATCTTCATCTCCTTTAACCTAAAACAAACACGGATGTGTTCATTGCTAAGATCTTCAAACACCACGAATTAAAATAACAGTATAAAAGGGGGAGATATAAAAATAGATTGTGCAGATTTTAGGCTTACCGACTTTATCTTCCCAGTAGGACGTATCTCAAGTCGGACAGATGCAAAGAACTTCAAAGCAATTCCACCACTGGTGACCTCAGGATTTCCATAATATACACCAATCTGGTTAAATCCAAAAGAGTATCCTTGTAAGCTTTCAGATAAGAAAAACCCAAATTGAGATGGAGAAGTCATATCACGTAAGGTGCTACGTATAGACGATTGGTACACAAACCAATTCCATTCATCCGCTGACATCCAAATTCTTAGTAAACAAGATTAGTCATTCTCTTTCTCAAATGTATGTAGCAGATAGCAGCCATTAATTAAAAAAAACCTTGTGCCTTATTTGATTGAGGAATATGAGTGTACATCCAGCTTTGGAAGCATTGCCTGACATTTTACGCAGTGCTTGACTCATAAGGCGTGCTTGCAAACCCATTTGTTGCATTCCAATTTCACCCTATGGAAAAAGTAATACCAGGAAAATGTTCAGGCTTTCAAAAGAATATCACAAACTTTTACAAATTATAAAATATGAATTCGTAACATACTTCAATTTCAGCTCGTGGAGTAAGTGCTGAGACTGAATCTATGCAAATAAGATCGATGGCACCAGATCTACACATACGATCCGCAACTGTAACATATAAAACAAGAGAAATAGTTATTTCTCAAGTACTAGCTCAGCAAAAAGCTCACTACTGTGAATAGTGTTGTACTATTTGTCACAATATTAACAAGCAAAGCAAATTACTCTCTAGTGCCATCTCTCCATTATCAGGTTGGCAAACAATCAGATTTTCTACATCTACTCCCAATGCCTTTGAGTATGTTGGATCAAAAGCATGCTCAGCATCAACAAGCATGGCATTACCCCCAAGATTCTGCAGGTTGAAAATAAAAAAATTTCAAGTTGTTCTTTAAGTGAAGAGTAGTTGAATAATTCTTAAATATGCATATAAATGCACTTCAATATTTGTATATGCATTTTCGGAGATGTTGCATACGCATAGATACCAGTAAAACCAAATCACATACTAGACCTGCACTTCTGCAATCGCATGGAGTGCTAGAGTGGTCTTCCCACTACTTTCTGGCCCATATATCTGAAAAAAAAAGGCACGAGATTATCAAGCTTCACAAGCAGCAGCTCCTTGATATGCTAAATGCTTAACTAATGAAACAACTATTTAATCATTGTTTTCAGAACACACACAGCAAGTAGTCTATCATTATTTATATCACTTAGCCATTCCACTAACGTAAAAGGAAATGACAGGTTGAGGCCTAAGGAATGTCTATTAGTTCACGTCAACTCAGTCCTAGGAGCAGCTCATAATATCTGGTAAAAGTTCTGGCTGTGTATATGTTGCGGACCACAATGATAAATACATGTACATCAGTAGAATGTTAATGCATTGTTATTATCAGACCTTTGGTGTCACAGCTTCTAAAAACAGAAAGACACGGGTTGCAACCACAGAAAATTAGATGGATAAGAGCATAAAGGTACTAAATGTAACACCTCAACAATCCTTCCTTTTGGAAGGCCACCGCCTAAAGCAAAGTCTAAAGTTAAGCAGCCACTTGGAAATGTTTCACTGCACAAGGAAAAGGAAGCTTAAGAAACAGCAATCGTGATAAAAACAAGTAAAACGTGATACAGCAAAATTATCATCAAAAAACAACACCTACACTAGAGCTCCACCAGCACTTCCCAATCTTGTAACACTTCCTTTCCCAAATGAGCTATTTATGTCATTCATAGCAGCATCAAGTGCTTTTTGCTGAAACACAAATTTTACACAGTAAGATAGTAATAAGTAGTGTCATATAAATATACTATGTAGACAACATGTGTTACAGCCTCATAAATAACAAAGAAAAGAAAAGAGGAAGCTGTTGCAATTCCATGATTTTCTCCAAGTTGGTGGACTACCATAATTCCATGATTCTCTCCCACTAGAATCACTCGTGTAGATTGATTATATAATTGAGTAAATTGTAGCTTTCCTAGATTAGAAATATACTTTGGCTACTTAAGCCATTAGTCTCTATAATGTTAAGATATATATTAAAAACATATTTCTCTGAATCACTTCTTGGTATCAGAGCCGCATTCAATCTTTTATCCTCCATTGACCTCAATTTCGTAAAAAAGGGCAAAACCCATATCAGAACAGAGTAACCCATATCTGAGCCGAATTAATTCCAGAACTGTCTGAAATTATTTCTATGGCTGCTGATAAAATCGAAGCCCCTATGCCAATTATTCATGTCCAATCCGAATCTTCTGGCTTCCATGCCGGTATTACTCTCACCGAAACCAACTACGATGTTTGGTCCCAGATCCTGGAGATGCAGATTGCAAGCCGTGAGAAGCTGGAGTATATTGTGGGCAAAACTGAAACCCCGAAGGAGACCGACACTTCTTATGCAAAGTGGTATGCGGAAAATCAAAAAATCAAAGGCTGGCTACTGACCTCTATGTCGCCGGAGATTATGAAACGATATATTAGATTACGAACTGCTCCAGAAATCTGGGCTGCTCTTGCCAAAGCATTCTACGAAGGGTCGGATGAATTACAGATCTTTGCATTGAATCAACGAGCCTTTTCTACCAAACAGGGTGGACGTTCCCTCTCCATCTATTACGGTGAGCTCGTCGAAATTTTTCAAGAACTAGATTACCGTGATAAAATTATCATGAAAGATCCCGATGATGTTATTGCCTATAAAAAATCTGTTGAACAATTACGCATACACATCTTCCTTAGTGGGCTTGATGCAGACTTTGAACAAATCCGTGGTGAGATACTGAGAAAGGACCCAGTCATGGATCTTGAAGCCACCTATGGATATGTCCGTCGTGATGTTGTTCGCCGTACAACCATCAATGGTGATTCTAATTCTCAGGAATCCTCAGCCTTGTTGGCTCGCCGAGATAAGCCCCAACAACGGCACTCTCATCCAAAATCGAATTCTAGCTCACTGAACCGTACCACAGAAAAACAGTTATGAAATTGGTGCTGCTAAATCAGATCGATATTGTACTCATTGTGGTGAAACCGGCCATTCTAAATCCCGATGTTATGAATTGATCGGATACCCAGATTGGTGGGATCCTGCAAAGGCACCACGCAAGCGAAATTTACAAATCAATCGACAGGCTTCTGTTGCCATGGCTGAACCTGTACACACCTCTCCTGAGAAAGTCTCCTCTCTAATTGCTACTTCAGGTAATATTGGTAAGGTCCTTCATACTTTTGCACCTAGTAGTAATAATACATGGATAATTGATTCTGGTGCAACTGATCACA